GGCCGCTGCTCCCCCGGCCCCGCTGGCCCGGTCAAGCGGGAGGCGATGCCCTTGGGAAATATTTGCAGGCAAAGCAAATCCGGCCTCACGCTTGTTACCCTTGTCCTGTTCCCCTGCGCTTTCCTCTCCCTCCCGCTGCAGTTATGCCCTGTCGAGCTTGCAAAGCGCTTGCCTTCGTTTCCCCTTTAGAAAAGCTCTCTCGCCATATCGGTGCTTAAAATGGCTATTAATAAATTTCAGCCTTTATCAGATGAATTACTCATAAAGGGAGGTAGGAGCCCTCACGCGCTAGCTTTTGGGGATGCCTCGCAAGAAGTTGCTAATGGAGGTCTTCTCCCCCTTGAGGCAGCACCTTTGCAATTAGGAAAGCAGTGACAGGCCGGTCTCATTCTACGCTTCCCTCTATGAGAGCCTCGTAAAAGAGACCTCTGTTCCCCCTGTAAAATTCACATTCATTTTCCTTATACTTTTTTTCCCTGTCACTCTCCAGCTCTTAGCCTTCCTCCCTCCAGAGCAGATCCACTGCAGTTTCCCCATGTTGTCTTGTTCAGAAAGCCCTTTCCCTCTCCTTGTCTAGAAAGACCGTCTATAAATTTAAAACAAATGACCTGAAGGTGTAAAGCCAATGCAGATAACCTCTGGCTGGAAATCTTCATGCCGTGCCTTTCATTCCGAAGTGAAGCGGTAGTGAGCTGATTTTCCTTCATTACAGCCAATGCCTAAACTCACCTGTATCTATTCAGCTCTTCTAGCTTAGACAAGAAACTGGTGTATACGAACGTGCCCACCATTGCTTCCAGTGACACTAGAAAGGGTCCGCTGCTGTGTTGCTTGTCCTTGTGCTTTTCCTCCCTTTCTGGATATATCCAGCTTTTTGTGGGTATTGTAGCGTGGTGCGTATTTGCAGGTGTTAGTGCGATAGAGTGAATCTTGGTACCTGTCTGCCCAGATAACGTTTCCTAATGTACCCATGTTCCCTCATAGATGTGGTATCTCTCCCTGAGCAAGCTCTCTCCGTACCAAGATGTAGGAACAGCTGCCGTGAAAGAAATTAAGCGTGGTTTTGTACGAGTCAGTCCTTTAGGGGGCTTACAGTTTCATAGCTACTGCTCTCTCCAAGAGAAGAAGAAATTTAGCCTCTTTTGTTCCTCAGTGCAGCAGAGGAAGAAGGGGAAAAGCAAACTTCTCAATGGATTCTTCTCCTTCTTCTTGGATATATATCATGGTTTGGCTCTACAGAGCTATTGCATTTTGGAGATGCTACCCTATTGCTACGATGTGTATCCGATCTCTGTAAACTGTACTGAATTACAACCCAGCAGCACTGAAAATTAGTTTTCAAAAGAAGTGGTTTTTATGTTATATGCAGGAAGTCTCACTGAGTGGAATTTTAATGTCATCTCCTCTGTATTTAGTCATTGTTAGGTTTTAAAGTGCGTACTTGATTTGCAAATAAAAGCCAGGTCTAAGGATAATATGGCCCAGGATTTTGCAAATGCTTCTATATTTTCTTTACTTCCCATGTATAAATATCCTTACTGCCACATTGGGAGCTCAGTAGGGTTTCGTTTTGTTTTGTTTTGCATTTTTGTGTGTAGAGTGGTAATTTTGGAAGTCACTATTAAGGATTTTAGCCTGCATAGTTCAATGTGGGAGTTAAACTGCATCTGGGGTTGTAAGGGGTGGGCTTTAAATATGTTTTTGATAACCAATACTAGTTACTTAAGGCTGTAGTCCACATCTTCAGAGAATTTTAGACTTTTCCAATGGGACCAAGGTGCTCAAGAACTGCAGAAGCTCCAGGTCACCAACCATGCTGATTTACGGATTTATTTGGAACTTTTTGTTCTGGGGGAGCATGGGATGTGATAATCAAAAAGAATAAAAACCCTGTGCTCTGAAACATGCTTTCTATGCACAGGACTGTGATGAACTCACCACTGATTGCTTTAAAATCACATTGTACCTTAGTCTGAGTTAATTTTTGAGTTGACTATAAACTCTTACTGTAAGCTTGATCTTGCAGTCACTAGTATCTGTTCTTAATACTACACATAGCTGTAGATCTATTAGAGTTAATAATATCACTTGAAAATCTAATTGAAAAACAATTTTAATTTTGACCTAAAAGCTTGGGATTTCAACAAAATCAGATCCTATGTTATCTGGAAGAGTCTGATAACTGAAAAGTTGTGAGAAGATGACATCAAAAGAATCAAGAAAGTAGAAAACTAAATGATGAAAGCATGTGTATGATTGCAATAGGATCTCTCATTCACTTGTGCTGTTTGGTTGACATAATCTGTCTCTGCGTGGTTGACTGCATTTTTATTTTAGGAGAATTCCTACATGCCGAAATGCAAATGCCACGTAACAACTTTCATTATTTTCTCTTTCTGCTGGTGCAGCAGGGGAAAGGCAAAGTGAGGGACCTGAATACGTGCTGTGTTCCAACAGGTTCAGTTCTAACAAAGGGGCTTTGAAAGAGTTGGTTGTGGTTGTGTTTGTTAACGCTTGTCTAAGAAGGGACCAAAAGAGTTGTTTCTTTTTTTAATTTTGTTTGTTTTGCTTTGTCTCCTCCACTGCAATTTACAGCCTTGCACCTTGGTGCAAACCCCTTCTCAGAAGATTTAAAATGACTGAAAAACCCACTTAGGGATTTCTGAAACGTGACGTGTTGTTCATGGTACTGACGTACTATCTAGGTTTTACAACATGAGGTCTGTTTCTTCCCATCTCACTGATTTTCTGTGAAATGTTGGACTTCTTTCTTTCAAAATTTCTGACTATAGAATGAATACTATTCCTCTCACCGGGGAGGTAGTGTGAGGGGAGGATTATAAGAATAAACATAAACTACTTCGGAGGTTCACTGTTGTAGTGAAGAATTATTCCAGATAATGCTGTGTGTTATAGGAGTAATAATTGAATAATTACACAAAAGGAGCATACACTAAATAAATCTTCCTGACACCAAGCTGGTTTAGGTTATAAAATTCTCTTGCAAGGGAAAGCTAGGGAGAGCAACGTGTAGTAAGGGGGCGACGCAGAAGCTTTCTGCTGTGTAGAGGCAGATTGAGCAATCTGATGCATATCTCCACTGTGTCATCTGCATTTAGATGGCCAAAATTTATGTTTCTATTTAATACCCTATTTACCATATTTATTTCTGTAGTCTTGTTGTAATAAGTAATACTGGAAAGCAGAGGTCAGATTTTTTTGCTTGACATGAAATGATTTATTATCAGCTGAAAATCTGGACGCTTTTTTTCCTTTTCAGTTTTACTAATACTTGAGTGAACTGTTATTGAGCTTTACCATAATGGGATCCTGGGAATATAAACCATGCAAACTCTTTCTTACACATGACTTGTGAAGCAAACATTTGGATTAGTGGAAGTTATAAAAAAAAAAAAAAGCAACGTTAAGGTGAGTTCATATTTTTTGTGCTCCATCTGCATTTATTGGTTCTCTGGGGTTATACATCATGGAGCATAAATGAACAAAAACCTAAAGAGTTTTTATTTTGTATTCTACCCCCTTAGGGTTTCATTCCATTTATACTTTATGTTTTCCTACTTCAGAGACCTGGTGAGTCTTGACTAAATGTAGACAGAGAAGTTTAGTCAAATTAATCTGTTTCTCTGGGGTTGTCACTTACTCTGATTTGATTAGAGTCATTATACAAAGGTTACAGTTTTAGCCACAATATGTTAGATTATAAGCAATTAATACAAACTTTAAAGTGACCTATTGCTGTAAAGTAACTAACACCTTTAAATGTAGAAACCTGTGTTACAGTTCTGGTTTGTATTGAAACTGTCCAAAGCTGGAGAATTTGGATGTGAAATAAAAAAAAAAAAAAAAAGGAATCAGACTTCTTACACTTTTTGTTTTCAGGATAAAATAGATTGCTACCAAGGTAGACAGACAGAGACTCTGTCCTGCAGGACATACCCCAAAACTTAAGGCACAACTGAACGGAATAATATGGAGCAGAAGAAAGGCCAGGGAACTTATTAGAGCTTAAAACTACCTATGCAGTTGAATGTTGAAAGATACTTTGCCTCTGTCTTCTAAATGATGTCAGAATACTGCTGTTTACATTTCTTTTCTACTTCTTGTCTGGACAAACATGCATGCTCACTTTGGAGGTTTGGAGCTTCACCTCATTAGTATACACCAAACCACAACAAATACATGTGACACCATAGATGTTTTAACTGTCCCTTTGCATTACATCTAGGAAAAGACCCTCCCCCAAAACTCTGAACAAAGCATTGAGTCCCCACCAGAGTCTGCCTGTATTTGTTTGTATAAGTACAATAACAATAACTCTTTATGCTTTTCTATCTTTGAGGGGATTATATTCAGTGTTTGCTAGCCAGTGACTCCAGAATGCTTTGCTAACGTTGTGTGTTGGGTTTTACAACCTGACAAAAGAGGTGGCTTTGGTGTATGGAGCCCCCTTCCTCTGGGATGAACCATCTCCTT